CCTGCAAGCCTTATCTCCTCGGGCAGGGCGTTCCAAAGTCGACTATGTTTGCTAATGTTTTTTCTTGAATTACCTGAGCAGATGACCTCCAGACTGTAGCCAGAAGAATCTTTCCTTTGCACTCTTCTCTTTGTTATAGCATTGCTGCACTCTTTCAGGGTCTGCTCAGTGCCTCTGCAGGTGAAATTAACCTCCCACGCTGGTTTGGGGCCGCTGCTGTTGGGCCTGTGTGCTATAGAAACCACAGAGCCACAACCCATCTGTCTGCATGCCACTCGTGCATACCCTAACTTCACCACGGCCTCTCTTTCTTTGGTGTTCAGAGCCCTCCACTCTCCCTGATGTTTTATCTCCAGCCTTCCGGAGCAGAGGCTGTTTCCTTCGGCCAGCCGGGCATCATGGGGCACTGAACAAGGAACCAGGACAGTGAAGCTCTCATTTACTTCCAATGCACCAAATTCAAGAGTCTTTACTCAGAAATATGAACCTGAGAGTATAGCAAAAAGTCAGAGCTTTTCATTACATTGCTGCATTTTATTCAAACTATGCCAATAAAATGTATATTTATTTTTTATTTATTCGTGATGATTAAGTACATTCAACATATAAATATATCTAGAGTTTAGCTATTAACTGTGAGCAATGCAATTTCCACAATCTCTGCTGACATTTTAAATTCACCATGGTGTCTCATGGGTGTTTATCATGGCTGCACCGGTCTTTGAAACTTCCTGTGTGTGTGTGTCAACATGTTTCTATTGAGTGATCCAGTGTTGGGTCAGTCAATAGACATTTTTTTTGCAGTGGGCTTTTTAGAGTTTAAAACTACAGGTAAACATTGCATGCAAAAAGAAGGCCGGCCTTCAACCTGCGTAACTTAACTGTTTTTGGTCTCATGCAATGATACAGTGATTCAGTCTTAGGGCTGCACAATATGGCAAAAACATCCCATTGTAATTATGTTGACACATTTTGCGATATCAGTATGATTAACAATTTGTAGGCCAGCGAATCTCTGAAGCACTACACTACTTCATTATCATGCTATTTTCTCACACATTTTACCTTTATCAACCAATTCTTTTTTGCAATTTTTATATTGCATATAATATTTTGATTAACAGTGCAGCCTTATTCAGTCCTATATAAACACTCTATATCGAGTAAATCTGCACTATAAGAAACTATGTGTAGATCCCGGTCAGGTAAAGGCTTAAAGGCTCATTTTTAAAATACTACAGCATACAGTATAGGCTAATTCATGCTTTAGGGAATTTACATGTATATATATGCTTTTTTGCTAAGGAGTTGCTAAGTGTACTTCAGTATGTGAGCACTCCTTCTTCTGTTCATTTTCTCTCCTGATACATAGACCTGAATGAAAGACTAAACTGAAAGCACAATGACTTGGCTAAGCTACAAAGAGCCTCACCAGTGAAAGGTACTCACCAGTGGACTGGTTTAGATGTTTGCCTTCTGGTTTTAGACTGGAGGTCTCAGTCATCAGCAGAACAAAAGGCCAAAGTACTACTAAACTCCATCTGAAAAATAAACTATGCTGGATTGAGAGCATTTTAACTGCTCTCTGAGTCCACGTAAACTGAACCTACAGTTTGGGTAGCTCGCACAGTGAATACAGCAGGGCTGCACTCACTCTTATGCACCGGTTTGTTTGCTCGAGTAACTAACTAGAGTCTAGTTTGCACCGTTGTTCCTGCAGCCTATATCTTATTGCCTCACCAACATCACCAAAGGTCATAATGACTTTTTCTCCAGCATTTAAGTCTCGTTCTCAATTTCTCACGGCTCTGCAGGTGCCTATAATCCTAAAGGTTTAATAAACATTAGTCAAAATAATCATTTGCTCACACTGTCATGTATCCAGGCTTACTGCCTTGTTATCATGTGCCCAGCTGGTTCCAGTCAGTAATTTTAACATTTGTAGTGAGCAGGAACACTATTATAGAGAGAAATAAACTTGTATATTATAGTATAGTATATATAGTATAACCAATACACCGCATAAATTCATATACTCTATCAGTATATGTAATCCCATGTTAACCTTTTCTTTTTTATAACAAAAAAAGAAAAACAATAAAAGGTCGACACCTATCTGGATTATATTTGTTACACTACACTCATACACTAAATTTAGCAGGATGTTATATATTTAAATGTGACGAATAGCAGTTTGTTACATCTGCTGGCAGGAGGAATGAATGTAAACTGTGTAGTTACTATATAACAGAAGTGACATTTGACACCGGTTTCCCCTCAGACTGAAGTCCAAATTTCATCCTCAAGATTTTTATCATTACAGATAAAAGTGCAAACAAACATTCTAAGAAATCTGGTTGAGTGTGTTATCTCGTGGATGTACACAGGGAGAGCATTATTGAGAATCAGTGTTCACACTGAACTAAACTGTGGTCCGATAGCACATCACATTATCAAGAAAACTTCACATTATTATAGATGATCTCTTATCTAGTGCTGCCAACAACAATCTGTGAGTATGCCAAATTAAAAGAAAAAAGCAAACTTTTATTGTGTAGACATACTGTACCATCTTTTAATACTCACTCTGAATGTTTATGTTTTATCTATTTATAAACATATCGAAACAAAATGATCCAAATCAAAATTGTATTAATGTCCATTTGAAGCTATCACAGAAGCAACTTGAAAGAAGTTAAAAACATTATCAAAACTATAAACCTACATCATGACTGGTTGAGCCTGATGCTGTAGGCTGCTCATTTGTCGAGCTGGGGGTGTCTTTCCAGCTGCGTTTGATGCAGCTTGTGTGTCAGAAGACATGGTAACTGGATGTGGTGGCCTGTGTCTAGCTGGGAGACAATGGTGTGGCTCCAGCTAATCACCTGTCTTTTGCAGCTCTTACAAGAAAGATATTCAGATGCCACGTAGTAAGAGCTGCTGACCCCACTACCTGCCTTATCCTCTGATGCAGTCCAGCAGAGGTCAGTTCTGATTTGCCACAGCAGTCTGGATGTGGACAGAAAAGCTGCACATGCCAAAGCTTTTCAACTTTAAAGTTAATTACAAAGACGTTGAGACAGCCACAAAATGGATACAACAGAAAATATGTTGTATACATTATACACAGTATACATTTTTTATGATAAATTCGTACTCATGATTGAAAAGAGATGTGAGGAGTGAGAGAGAACGAGAGTATGCGTAAGACAGAAAGCAAGAGCGTGTGTAAACATTTCAAAAAAATACATACGTGCAGTGTCTGCTTCCACACATTGAACGGCTAGCACAAGTTCGCTGTCAGTGGGTTCCTGCTGCACTGTGTCTGATGAACAATGTGCAGTAGACTGAGCAGGAATAGCTGTAAAAGAAGGACATCAAAATATGATACATTAAAAATATAAAAACATCTACAACTCAGAGTTAAACAAAATGCTTTTTCTCTTTTTCTAGTTGCATACTCACACGGCTGAAACTTCTGCTGTGAAAACAGCCTCTTGACAGACTTGTCTATAGCCTGCTGGGATTTCCCAATCAGTAACGAGCGCAGAGTGGCTGTAGGCACTGGGGACAGTTGAGGTGAAGTGAAGGCGACGTTTAGGTGTTCAATGTGGTGGCAGGTTGGTTCTCTGTCTTCACACTACAGCCCTCTGGGTAGTGTGCAAAATATTTGTTGAAGGCTCTTTTGTTGATTAGTTTGTTATGTGTATCACATCTGCCTGACTCCTGTGACATTGATGCAATCACATACCCAGTATACCCCAGGGCATTTTCAGCCACCCACTTAAAAGTTTGGCCCCTATACAATCCAAATTGTATTTGGTGTTGGCCCAGGACATGCTGCTCGTTGTTGGGGTCACCACCCTGATGGAGAACAGCCATCCTTGCTGACTCTGTTACTCTGTGGGGCAAAAGAGCTCGGGCCCACGGCCTGTTCTCCCCCCTCACTTTTTTGGCCTCCTCTGTGTCAAGGAGACTGGCACGGCCATCTCCCCTCCTCCTGAATTTAGGATCCATTCTGTATAGTTAGGGGGAAAAAACAACAGTTAGAATATGGTTGGTCTGACATCTTAGATTGAACACACATTTATATTGTATTGGTCAAGTCTACGTTAGTATGCCTGGATACATATGCAATGTAGGTACATGAATGTGCACCTGAATATATATCTTGTTTACAAATATTTAATCAATCTGTACATATTTGATTGAGATAAAGTCTTTTTATCTTTTTAATTCTCAGTTGCTATTATATTGTACAACAGGGTAGAGAGACAGCAAACTAACAATGTCCTATGAAAGCCAATAGGCTAGCACATCTAAGTGTTATCAGTAAACTAAAATAAACAGTTGGCTAGTTAAGAACGGAGAATTGTACATGACTTGTTTAGTTAATGTCACTGACATTGGTTTATAAATTACGTTAGTTACGTTACCGGCATGATTATTTTACAATTAGCCTGTTAGCATAAGAGTGTAGTAAACCATATCTTTTCAATAATTCAACTTATAAGAACTATACAGGCCCAGACATTATGAAGGCAATTTATGAATAAATGAATGAATAAATGACAATGAACTTACCGAAAATATAACAAAAGATCAACAAAAAGATCAAAGTTACGGCGCTCGTACCACTTGACGTTGTTCTCTGGATGGGCGGGGCCTCAGGCCATTCTTGGTAGAGTTCCCGATGGTGATTGGTCAAATCTTCGTATGCGCAACGAAGCGTGATTGGTTTTCGCCATTCTTGGTAGTGGGACGGCATTTGATTGGTCAATTCTTGGTAGCAATCTTGGTAGCAATAGGCAACGCGATTGGCTCTCACATGATGGATTACCTTGATTGACAGGCGACATAGTTTTGCGTTGCATCCAGGAGGTCTGGGTTCGTGTCCCAGGTGATTGTCTAGTTCTTATTTTTGCGTTTTTATGATGTACATGCTGAATGTACAGTATTATAGATAAACATGAGCAAAATAGCTAAATAGGCTCTTTCGTGGTAAGTTAAAGACATATTTCGACGTCCAGCTGATGATGCATAACTTTAATTTGGGAAATATTTTGTAACCATAATGGGACGTCTTGATTGTACGTAATACAGCGGTCATTTAGTGTTGCTGGGGTAAGCTGACCTGATTAACTAACTAACAATAAACTAATAGCCATACATCTCTCACAAAACTTATCTTAGCTATAATGACAGCCATAAGCTGTCCTTATCATGTTGTTCACAGTGTTCATGTTGTAGACATGCAGAGGTGTTTTACTGAGAATCATCTGTAGCCATTCAAGTCATGTGTGGTCGTAGTGTAGTGGTAATTCACGTTATATGATCAACTTTAATAATTCATTAGTTCGGAATGAGTAAGTGAGTGTGAGTTACACAGCTAACCGCTTGCACAAGTTCGTTCTTTTATTTTGAAAGCACAGCCAAACAGGAAGTCTTACCAGGTTTGTGCTTTGAAGGTACCGGGACAAACCGGATGACGAGCTACCATATAGCTTATAGGGACAGAAATAATCAAATAACTCCTTTTGTTTTTCAGCAAAACCCCAGTAGACACCACAAGCCCGATGTTCTTGATCTACGACCAAAGAGGCAAGTGTAAGAGAGACAGAGCCAGGAGGAGAAAGTCCTTTGGCGGTTCATAATAACCTAACATAACGTTACTGCAGCGGCTTCTACAATAAAAATCACCGCAACGCCGCTAACGTTAACGTTATCTTAAATCTTGCTGTGCAGTAGTAATCATCCTGGAGTGGCCCCCATGCAGAAAGGCTTAACGTTACATTGTCAGGCCCGAAGAGAGAGAGGCTCGAGGAGGCGGCACCGGTATCAGTCCGCGCTTTTGTAGTAGTCATTCCCAAATTTGTCATAATAATAAATACTCGTAGCGATTAAAAACACGAGATATATAGCTACAGGTCAAAATAAACGTTATAATGCATTACACGTGACT